AGAGTTCGAATCCGCCAGTAGGACGACAATTAGCCCATCTACATATTGTCAGTTTCTTTCGTTGATAAACTGATGCTAGCACTTGCCATCAACTTACTTATAAGCAATCACTGACATTCTTACCAGCGTGTGGTTGTTACTGGCATTTGCTACCACTCTGGCTATTTGCAACTACACCACCTCTCAAATACAGCGAATGCGGAAGCGATTCTGATTCAACTTTGACCAACAACCGAGAAAACAGAAAAGATCCAAGACCCATTAATTCCCTAAAATTTATGGAATTAACGCAGCAAACCTTAGATACTTGAAAGTGCTGTTAAATCATAATCTGGTTGTCATTTGACTATGTATTTGACTACTTTTCCAGTGGCTTTAACCAATGTTACATCGCCTCTTGTTCTTGTTTTGCTGCCCATCCTAACGCTCGTTTCTTCTAAATATAGTAAATAACATTCCCTGGTTTTTGCGGAATTCTCAGCGTCAGAAGTCAAAAATTCTTGCATATTTCGCTGTTCAGAGCAGGTGGAAGCACCCGGAAGTAATTATGTGGGAAGTACATTACCAGAAACAACCTCCCTTCGGCAAAGCTGTCAATGGTTAGGGTTATTTTCCTGAAGGTTGCTTAGAAACAGACCAATACAGCTGTTCTCGTTTCTGTCAGCACCAAAGAAACCCATCAACTAACCGAACAGAGTATTTTTTTTTTTCACCAGCAGTATCAAACCATCGACTTATATCTAAGGACTAGTTCCCTCGCCCACGCAATCGTACAACTGGAAATACCAGGATCAAGAATAATGAAATAGCTCACAATCAGTGCAGATACCCCGTGTTAGTGTTTTTATTGGAATGCTCGGCTTTGCCAAGCCCTTCAGTTTAGAACAGCATACCTCCAGCTAGGAACCGGAAACAATAATATATTAAAAATACAAAAAAAAAGCGAGCGATTCATAAACTTTTGCAGATATGAAGACAAAAAGATGTATTTCGTAGTCTGTCAATTTGTTAAAAACAGTGAGCAATGAAATAATAAAAAAAAATTTTTGACCTCTTCAAATATATGTAAAAAGAACTGAAAAAAAAATTATCATTAGTTACCCTGATACTTCGAGCAGCAACCGTGTATACTCACTAAACAAAATATGGCCGAAGTCAAAGTTAAAAATCAAAACCCCCTCGATACACAATCTTTAAGAGCAGCGGAGGCAATCGGAGTCAGTAAGCAGCCACGTAGTCGCAAGACTATGGCTCCTCTTTCAAGGTTACTTAGAAGCAAGCTGATGGCGGATTTGTAAAGCTGATGGCGGATTTGATTTCCTATTCGAATGGATGAACGAATCGTAGAGAAGTTAATCGTCTCAAGGGACGGAATCGAACCCTCGATCCGCACGAAAGTGGTGCTGCTTGTCACTGCGCCACGTCCATCACCAAATGTGCCAACCGAAGTACCAAAGCACAGCAACTGCATAAGTTGTACATTAAATTTTTACACATACGCAAACAAATAAGAAAAACTGCACAAGTATAAAATTACGAGAAAAGGACTGGCTCTGTTCCAGCAGGCAGTTTTTGTACGATATAAACCTTGTTGGCACATTTGTCTGGAGCTGTTATTCAGACTTCCCACCAGATGAAACGATTCCAAGAAATCTGCTGGTGGCTCAATTACTGTGCATATTTCTACAAAATACCACCTGCTTGGCTCGAGATTTTCGACATGCAGCTCCACATACGTTGATTTCTGAAAAACAAGTAATCGCGGATTTTACTGCATACTAATTATTTACTAAATAATGTAATTAGAGCCAAAAGAAAAGGCGGGTGTCGAGTGACTAGTAGGCTGACCATCTGGCAATGCAGCACTGGTCAAAGCAATTGAAAAAGTTACCACTTTATATAGTTCTAGAAGTAAACCATGAATTGCAGCTGATCAGAGTATCAAGGTAATTAGCAGTCAAAAGATGCTAATAATACTGTTAAATTCAAAACCCAGTACCTCCTCTGCACTTTACTCCATCTTTACTTGCAAAATATCAAGAGGAAATATGGGGAAAATCTATCTATCATGTGCAGCGGAAACATGTTAGCAGTTTTTGTTTCATCCCTTAGCTGTAAACACAGACCGAACACAGTATGCTGGTAGGTGTGGGAATCATCAAGAGATCAACATGAATTCACTCACAATACTGCCTTTTGTAAACGTGCCCACATGTTTAGACCATAGCTGGTCAGTAATGTTCACGCGCAGTTTGGTCCATCGCCGAAGCGGGAAATGGTCACCGAAGGAGACCCATACGGCCATCGAACTATTCGTTATGGCACGAACTGAACTTTGCATCCATATACTGGCACACTCGGATGAAAAATCATTCCTGCAGAGTACCTCGATTTGGCACTGTAAGCAGTCCAGACTGGTTTCATAACAAATCAGATACCACGCATCCAGCGAAACTTTTCCTAAAAGAAGGTTAAAATTTACGAACTTAAAATTTCCTCCACATTCGTTCTGTTTGAGAGAAAAGGACAGTTGTTTTCTGCCAGTGGTCAGCAAAGCATACAATGTGATTTATTTTGATCAAAAAAAAGTAAGAATCAACATGCGGATTCTGGTTTGCCTGTATTTAGCATTTTTCTATTTAAGTATTACTCTTGAGCCCTAGAAGTCTGTTTTTGGTTTTATCTGCCTTCCTCTGACTAAGATTTTCTTTCCACCCAATGATTTTGTTCGGGTTCATACTCCTATCAACTGCAGTTCACAATGGCAGTTTTTTTAACTGTTTTGACCAGTGCTGTATCATCTGGTGGTTAGTCTGCTAGCGTTCGTCTCGCCTTCAGAAGAGCTTACGAATTCAACTTTCTTCGCGACAGAAGCCCTTAGGCAAGGTTTGTCTTGAGTATTGCCATATTATCATAATTAAATTATTGTAATAACTTTACAAGTATAATAATTTGACAACAATAGTACCATAATAATTTTACTAATTTTATAATAATATTATGATTTTACTAATTTCGTAATTCTCATTTCCCGTCTTCCTTTCTGATTCTTACTTTAACCGCTGTTAATACCTTTCTTTATATTGACATAAAAATGTGAGAAAAATGCGCATAGGGTCTTCTATGCTATCACACATCTCTACCTGAGGGTGATTTCCCACATTAGCCTTTAAAGTACCATTAGGCATAAGAATACTTACTGGGTTCTATATTGAATGTCTGACCGCGATAATGCTCACACTTTACTCCATCCCGAGCTTCCGCATATCCGAGCGATGGCTCAGATTTATCGTCACACTGTGTTACTTGTAGGTCGGACCACATATCCTTGTGAATAAAGCTAGTATTTGCCTGATAGGCAGCTGCACCCAATGTCCAGCTGTCATGAATGACCAATGGCCATATCTTGACGGACGTCACGTTACAACATACTTGCAGCTGCAATTTCAATTTTTTATTTCCCAAGTAATTTTAATGAAACGTGATTTTTAAGGCGATGGGAGAAGAAAAGTAAAAGGAAAATAACGGGTAAAGGGGAGTTTTTGAAGTAAAAAAGGTGTTGTATAAAAAAGAAAAGAATTTCTAACGCAGATGAAAAATATACAAAAATAAATAGATGTAATATTTAAGTGAAAGGGAATGTTCAAGCCCACTGATCGTACGCATTCCTATTCAGTACCACAACTGGAACTCATCATTATGACAGTAATCCCCAGATTATTCTAACAAATATTTAGGCAATTCCTAATGTTTGAACTACAGCTTCTGTAAAAGCGGTTGTTTTGACTGCTGCTCAGTGATCGCTTATAAAAACGTACTGTATTGCTTTGATAGGCTTGTTCAATAAATCTTGTTGTTTTCGAGAGACTATGTGCCACTATGTTTGAGAGCGC